ACAAAGAGTTCTCGGTCTGGGTTCGGTGGCAAAGGGTCTAAGGAGTCTATTGTATCACACAATCACCCAGTTCCATTACTTGTAAGGTAAACAACTTCACCCTGACTTTGAATTCACTGTTCATGGTTGTATTATGCAGTCCCGAAGTGGATCTTGACCTTGGGTGGTAAATTTTGTGTGTAAACAATGATTTGTATGCTAGAACCACCCTTGGAATGATAGAATGTGATTGTGTTGTTCTTTTAAATCAAATAACTCAGGGTAAATGGTTTAAATGACAGTTTTGACTTAAGGTTTCTAGTTTCGATATGATAATAAGCCATATTGTATGTTAAAGGAACCCTAAGGTTGAAGAACTACCATATATTGTGTTGAAATGCATAATTAGACTTAGGTTGTTTAATTGATTGGTGGAAATAATGTGTATAATGAGAAGCATGTCTGAAACCTGGCACATACCTGACCCACAAGACCCCATCCACGGACCGTAGGTCGGGTCCGTGGGTCTGTTGCACATACAAAAAATCATTAAGTGTCGAACCACGGAGGTGGAATACGGTCCATCGTTCCATCGACGGACCATTCTGCACATCCATGGTTCACATCAGAGACCCATCTTGTGGGTACTTTGACCTACGAAGGGGACCTACAGACCGTAGGTCCAACCACAGACCGTAGGTACCCACCGTGGGTCGACAGTTCAGCTACTGCCCAGAAATTTATTTGTTTTTCATTTTGTTTTGTTTCTTGTTCTAATTTTTTTCCTAGTGTGTTATTGGCTTGTTTTAGTACTAACTAAGCTTCTACAGGTATTATGGCTCCCAAACAATCTTCAACTTACGTCTCGAAGGGCAAGTCAAAATCAGTGGCACCATCCTTTCAGCTTATCGATGAGGATACTGACCCTGCATATGTCCCACCTCCTACCAGGACATCTCCCATTGCACCACACACCACACGAAACCAACCTCGGCAGGTGCAAGCCGACGTGGTCACTGCCCCCAGTCTAATGAGGGGGATACACCGATCGGTTCAACGGCTGGCTCTGAGTCCGCATCAAGTTCCGACTATATCTCAGGCTCCAACTCTAATAGCATCACCGCCTCATCCTCCGAGGCTACTAGTGCGGGGGACATTCTAGTGCCACCAAACATCGATCCTGAACCAGTTGTTGAGGAACCCAATCGCTAGTGCGTGAGTGGCCAGTATCAAATATACAGGGACTCCCGGATGCATAATGGGAATGACAAGATGGCTCGACTTGTCACCGATGAGCGCCGAGTTCTCACAGGCAGTCTCCACACCGCGCCCGACATCCACATATCTTCAAAAGGCATAGGTGCGAATAGATGGCCCTTCATCTTGCTACAGACGGAGATTGTGTCGAGTGGGTCAGCACCCTAAGCTTGGGTATCAAGAAGGCCACCCTGACATTTGTGGCCAAATTCTTCTGGTTGCTGGTGCGGAACTGTGTGTCTCCTACTCAGGCAGATAATGTACTTACATGGGACCGAGCAGTCATGGTTGCAACTTTAGTTGCTGGGATGGTGGTCGACTTTGCCCACATGCTGATTCTGGAGATACACGAGAGGGCCTTCAAGGCCACCACCACCCTACCTTTTCCATGCCTCATTTTCCAGCTTTCCAGGGATGTTGGAGTACCGGTGTGGCACTGTAATAGGTTGCTTCAGGCGACCAAGACCCTAGATATCGTCCTGATTCAGGATGAGGCCAATGTAGCTGCACCTCGTAGGGAGCCACAGGTTGAAGTGCCACCGTTGGGAGCGGACCTTGTAGCAGATATGGAGCAGATTGATGTTTGCATAATCAATGAAAAAACTTCCAATGCAAGTGTCTACAATTCTGCAATAGTATAATCACTTAACCAAGGGTTGGGGTCGATTTCCAAGGGAGTGGGAATGAAAATTAGTGGTTAAGCGCAAATGTGCTAAAGTTAATCGTAGCTAATGATTTTTACGAGTGAATACATATCAAATTATAGGGGGACACAAGAGTGTCACTTAACAATGGGTTTTTTTTTACTAGTAAGTAACAACAATAAAATTAACAGAGATTCTAAGTAATGAGAAGGGATTCTTGGGATGTGACCGGAATACGAGTTAATCTAAATTATTGGGTACATACTTTCGATAGAAAATTTATAGAGTAATAGTGACTAGGCTAAGCTATATGTGGGAATAAATTCTCTCTCGAACAACTTACCCCGTTTCAAATGGGTTCCTCTCGGACACCCATTTGCCGCATGAAGACTAGTCTATGCCTTACCCACTCACTCTCTCGAGCTAAGTGTTAGGATATGGGACTAGGGCTCACTCTCTTGAGCTGAACCTTATGTTGACCCACTCCTTAAGCCATCAATCTAGTAGTCTTGGTTTCGCGACCTCTCTCTCTCGCAAGCCAAAAACACATAAATAAACTTGTATTTGCAACTACAAATTTGCTAAATTAAACCACAACTACTAGATGAAATTACCATTAAACTACATCTAATCTATCAACAAGCAAGACCCAACAACAATCTTAACCCATATTCGCTAAATCACACCCCAAGAATTGGGGTTTTTAGCCACACAGTAAGAGATAGAAATTTATACCTTCAATGATGTTGAAATCAAATGGGGATGAAGATTTAAGTCTCAATTTAGGCAAGGAGTGAAGAATCCAAGAGACCCGCTTACAAATTGAAAGAGATGAAACCCTCTTCTTCTTCGAGTTTTCAAAACCCTCTCCAAAACTTAGAGAATCTTTTCAAAGCTCTGTCTCAACTTTTTAATCTAAAAACTAGGTAAAACAATGTAAAAAATTGCTACTAAGAATAAAAACTGAACTAGTATTTATAGTTTTCAGAAAATGTGCTCCGAAGAATCTTTCGGCGACGTTAGTGAGAATCGCCGATGCATTCGGCGATCCACCCTTTGGTCTACTTCGTCGCCTTTCATCAGTTGCCTTCAACATCTTTGTGTCCTGGATAATTGGGTGATGTGGCAATTTTTCGCGGAGTCGTTCGGCGATACGCCGACTTCTTCTTTTCATCGCCGATTTTCTCCTTTTTTTCAGGGCTCAGCACACTGGAACAAAAAGCGAACATGCGATCTGTTGGTGATTCGCCAAACATGTTCGGCGATTCACAGACCTTCGTTTCTTCGTTCTTTCAGCTTCTTTTTTCCCCATTTTGCTAAGTAGTGTCCATGCTTTGCCTCAAACTATAAATACCTGAAACTTAAATGTTTTCATCAGATATTGAGATAAAATAAGCATTTGAGGACACAATTTCTATTAAAATATAGCCCTAAATGAGTCCAATTTGTAGACTCATCAACACCCCCAACTTAAACTTTTATTTGTCCTCAAGCAAACTCATTGTCCTCAAGTAAAACTCAAGTTCAGCAGTTCAAAAGGGACGTCTCAAACAGTGCTATACAAGATTTAATCCTGAATGCACACAACAAGACTCAACTTACTTATGCAAAGATAAAATGTGCACTAAGAGATTCAAGTTGTGACTCACCAATATTAACGAATTTCATGCTCACAATACTTGCTTCAAATGCAAGTTCAGACTCAACTAGAGTGTGTGAATGCCCTCACAGAAAGAATGATTCCATAATCACACAATGGTTCACAACTTAAAGCTTCAGAATCAAATGCAACGCTCACTCTTACAAGGAAGAACACAATGCATGCTTTCACCCATAGGTTTGCCCATATTTTCCGATCAACATTTGTTTCAGCTCACTCAAGATCAAAAAGGTCTTTTCAAGGCTTGTATTGGGGTTGAGTACAAAGGTATGGTCATTTAGACTCGGTGACTTTCATCCTCATGAAATGTGGTGCTCACAACATTTCCTTTCGTTTTCCTTCATCATTCTCTTTAGTGCTCATAAGTCATCCTATTATTCACTTTCCATGGATTGTTTGGGAACCCCATTTTTTTGTACTTTTATTCCACAACTTTCTTTTTCATTTATTTTTTTTTCTTTTTTTTTATATGGAGGGGTTCCATTTTCCTTAAAACCATGGGTAAGAGGAGACTTTCCTTGCACTTCTTGACTTCCCTTTTTCTTTGCACCACACCCCCAACGTAGGCTTTTGGCCTAAATTGGCTATTCAACTAACCACAATTCAAGAGGATTATAGGTAGTGGATTAAGAAAGGTCTAGTTTTCATCAAGTTTCTTCCAAAGAAAGGTAAGACTCAAGGGGTGTTCAAAAGAGAATCACACGCTCACAAGGTAGGTCACAAAAGAGGTATATGTCAAATTGTCTCACACTCTTAGATGTTGCCTAAGATCATATCAAGAGATAGCATCACTTAGTTGACCGGACCAATGGTGCAAATTCTAGGATCTATTATGCATGGTTCAACGTAAGCTCATCACACAAGGCATCGACACTAAAGTCAAACAAGACTCCACACTTTCGCTAGTGTGCAACGGTCATCACAAGAGACTCAATTTAATAAATGGCTAATCACAACGAGATGCAAGGAGTTCACATATTGTCTATGCAACTTCATTTGGCCTCGTCGTAGCCACGCATTCATGTTCGTTCGATTGAGAGCACTATTCAAGTCATCGATATTGATTGGAACGAGACTTAAATTTTTCAAAGAATAGCCACATTCAAGAGCATATAAAGGGTGGCGAAAATGTGCAAAAAATTCAAAAAAATTCGGAAGGGTCAAAATTGTTTTTTTTTGCCATTTAAAATAAAAGGAGCCGTAAACTCAATCATCCATAGAAATAGATAAAACACAATTTTAAAGTAGAACAACCCAAATATATACACAGAGCATAACTATCAACACAAAATGAGGCTTTAAAGTAGAACAACCCAAATATATACACAGAACATAACTATCAACACAAAAGGTGTGGGCCTCACCCCACCACAATAAAAAGCGTTTGTCCTCAAATGCAAATAAAAGTGTCTAAAAGTAAAAATAAATAAGATAGAGAGAGAGGTAAAGAGAAGTCATGTCTATGCAGTCTCTCTATCTTTCGGGGTCTGAATATGAGCATCAGTGCTTGGTGCATCTATCTGTTCACGGGTCTTAGTACTCGGAGTAGCCTCAGACGAACTAACAATGCCAGATCCACTAGGAGCTATTGTGGACGTCTCAGTCGGCACTGTCTGAGTTACCGACTGCACAACCATCTCCACAAGATTCAGCAAGTCTCTGAATATGTTGTCCTCTTGGCTCTCACTAACTACCTCATCGCGCACTACTATCCGCTCCTCGTTGATCTATGTCTCCGACTCTACATGCCCTACATCATCCCTCTGCACATCTCCGGTCTCAGGAGCATCCTCATTATCTGCTCCCTGCATCAGTGTGGTGTAGTCGATAGCCTTCAAATAGGCTACGTCATTTTTCAACTCTGCTATTTTGGCTTTTAATACTGAAACCTCAGATGTCTCCCCCTGTCTGCTCTCACAAGCAGTGACTCTGGCAGTCAGATCATCAACAGTGGTCCTGAAGGGGGTCAGTGCAGTCAAGATGACACTGTCAATGATCCCTGGGATGGATCTCTCCAATCGCGTCGCCCTCACATCCGCTGAATAGGCCAGCTGCCCCATCTTCAGGATCATAGCATGAGTGATTCTGGTAGGCTGGGAGGAAGAGGAAGCACCTGGAGTCTGTGAAGTAGGAGAAGGAGCGGGTATACCTGAAGGCTCCGAAGCCGGAGTGGACGAAGGTGCCTTTGCTGGTAATGAGTCAACTTCGACCTCTGGAGAAGTATCTGCTAGAGCTGCTCTCCTCCTGTCAACCTCCTCTCATGTGAACTCGGCCTCTATACGCCAAATATCGGTGGAGAAAGATGAGGTGACCTCTATATCTCTAGCAGGATCTCGGGGTACTCCAGCACGCTGGCATAACTCGGTGATCAGAATAGGAAAAGGCAAAGACGTCTGCGTCTGTTTGGCTCTCATAGCCATCTCTTGTGAAACTAGCAGTCCCAAGTCGATCCGCCTCCTAGCCATGATAGAACCAAGGCAAGTTGCCTTAGGATGACGCAGAATGGTCTCATTCTGGGATGGCATGATAGTACTATTGATGAAGCCAAACTAGTATCGGGAGGCAATGTTCATATCCCTTTTCTCAATCAGAGCTCCTTCCTCCATCTATTTCGGGGTAGTGTTAGAGATCATCGGAGCTAACCAATCCTTCAACTCATCCAGGGATGTAACAATAGGCAAACCTTGGTAGGGTAGTACTGAGTGCAGCGGTCGACCTAATACAACATTAATATGATCGATGTGACACTCCACCTCATTGCCTCTAACCATAACTGACTTCACCGGTTGGAACTCACTAAACTTCTTCTTATTCTTTGGGACCAACTCTCCATAGGCTAAGTAGAATTCCTGGACCCAGGAAGGAATGTAATGGCCACGTGACCTAGTGAATTGTTCCAATTCATGATATCTGAGTGTGTCAAGCACCTCAGCGTGCTTGCCTTCTAAGCCCTCCACATATAGGAACTTTTATTCTAGAATGGTTCAAAAACATTCGCCTTTTAATCTATTTAGCAACCTGGGTGGAGGTGGAGCTACAGGGAGTGCAGGAGCCACTGGAGGTGGTACTGTAGTTAGCACTGATTCAGTAGTCGGGGGAATGGCAGCTGAAGGGGTTCCGGTAGATGTGAGCTAAGCTCTAGCCCTGAGTTCATTCCTTCGATTCATCAAAGGTTGCTCATCCTCTGGCTCAGAAAAAACTGGTTCAACATTTGTGCCCTTCCTAGCTATGTGCTTTTTTCGTTTGCCTTTATCTCCCGGTTATAGGTCATCTTTTTTTCTCTTTGGAGGGTTTGATCCTCCTTCATTGATCGTAATGTCTTTAGCCTTTTTCTGTGGTTGATCGGTTAAATTGGTGCGTACCATATCTGCAAAAGATCGAGAAAGGATAAGAAAATAACTTAAATTCAGGCATAGTGACTTTCTCTGCAGATAGACTTGCCGATCAAGTCGGCGAGTCGCTGAACCAATTCGGCGAACTAAATCGGGCTCGCCGATGAGTTAGCTAAACAATTAAGGCAAGTCGGCGATAAGAGAGTCCTTTCGGCGAATCACCAACTATTTTCGACGAGCAAGGGTTTGTCCGCTGAAAGTTACAGTGCATAAGGGTCTCAGGGGTAGCATACGGAGGACGATCAAGAGTACTTTCGGCGAGTCGCCGAGTGCGTTCGGCGACCACATGGCTTCTCTCTGAAAGTTACAGTTTCATCAAATTTGACCTGATACTAAGGGCGAGATGGAGACATTGGGCGAACCGCCGAACGATTCGGCGATCTCGACCCAGCTCGCCAAATGGTCCAATGTGCCCATTTTTAATTCATCTTCTCGAATTCAATCCCGCAAACCCCGAAAGCAAAATCAAAGCATGCACTAACGAAATTTGAACAAAACCTATACTACCCATCACCTCGGAATACTTAGATTTCTCCCGGACTTGCCGCATTTGGCCATTTGACGATATTTTCTCTTAAGAGCGGTGTCACCCTCTCTATCATTGAGAATTTTTTTGATATTTAGCACAAACATGGGCTACTCAATTTTCACCCAATCAATCAAAACAACATGCAATCATGACCCAACTCATTAAAAAGCACAAAGATTATGAGCATTTAACAATCAGACAACACAGGCAAAATTTTCAAATTAAAATAGGCATGTAATCATTCTAATCCTATCACAGAGGCCCAACACACATCACTAAGAGATAATTATTGCAAATGAGTACAAAACATTCAAATGTAAATATGGGAAAAGGAAACCAACCTTCAATGTTGATTAAATTGGATTTGAAAAGCTAGAAGGCAAAGTATTCCAATTCCGAGCACAAGTCCCAAACTAAAGTAATGCTAAATTGAAGAAGATGCTACCTTAGTGTGAGTTTAGGAGATTTATGATTGAGGGAAAGTGAAGAAGTTGAAGTTTTGAATCTTTTGGCCATTATAAACCGTCCTGTTCACGCTCATTCGGCGACGTTAGTTGCAATCGCCAATTCACTCGGTGATTCGCCGAGTGGTCCCTTGTCCCGCCGATTGTTACAGACTTGTCAATTTCTTGGGATCAAAATGGCGGTCTAAGTCGAGATAGCCGACCTAGTCGGCGATGCGCCAAACTGCTTTTCAAGGTCGCTGAATTATACAGGCTCTAATTTAAACTTGAGCTGAGCCAAATGGCGGGTCAGGTCGGGCACGCCAACCTATTCGGCGGTCCGCCGACTGATCATTTTCTCGCCAATCTGTATTTTTCACCACTTTCCTGATTCAAACCTACACCACTAACAAACCATTATTTATAAAAGCAAATTTAAGTATTTAAAACCTTGGGTTGCCTCCCAAGAAATGATTTATTTAACGTCGTGTGTCGACGCGAATCCTTACTCACTCCCCATTGGTTGGGTTGGCCCTAGTGTTACTAGGTAACCCCAATAGTTCGTTTGAGTGAAAAGGAGGCACCGCATAATTCAGGAGTGTCCTGATCAGCTGGATCGATCTAAAATGAGAGCCAACCATTTGATTCAACACTTCAATATTCTCATTCATCTTTTCCAACATTTGATCTTGTTCGGTGATCTTTTGGAGAATGATTTGGAGTGTGTCCTTGACACAGTTGTTCTCCCAGCCTCTAGATTGTTTCCTCTCGTGATGAGGTATGTACCTCCCTTGAATCTTGCACTGGTTTTCCACTTCAGTTATTTTGGTGGCCAATTCATCCAGCTGAGCTACCAGTGCGGGTAATGTGAAGTCCCTCTCGACTTCTTACTTCATCTCAGCCGGGTTTCCACCATTTCCCTCAGCCATGCTCAGGGAACCTACCTACACCAACAAATTTAAAGAAAAACAAAACTAAAAATAAGATTAGTAAACTACGATTGTTGAAAGCAGAATTTGACTTAAACCAAAAACATTCATGCAACACCACTCCCCGGCAGCGACGCCATTTTGATATTTGCGTAATCAACGACACAACATCCAATGCAAGTGTCTACGATCGTGCAATAGCATAATAACCCAACCAAGGGTTAGGGTCGAGTTCCAAGGGAGTGGGCGTGAAAATTAGTGGTTAAACGCAAATGTGCTAAAGTTAATCGTAGCTAAAGATTTTTACGAGTGAATACATAGCAAATTAAAGGGGGACACAACTGTGTCACTTAACAATGGGTTTTTTTTTTTTACTAGTAAGTAACAACAATAAAATTAACAGAGATTTCTAAGTGATGAGAATGGATTCTTGGGATGTGACCGGAATACGGGTTAATCTAAATTATTGGGTACATGCTTTCGATAGAAAATTTATAGAGTAATAGTGACTAGGCTAATCTATATGTGGAAATAAATTCTCTTTCGAGCAACTTACCCCGTTTCAAATGGGTTCCTCTCGGACACCCACTTGCCGCATGAAGACCAGCCTACGCCTTACCCCACTCACTCTCTCAAGCTGAGTGTTAGGATATGGGACTAGGTTTCACTCTCTCGAGCTGAACCTCATGTCGACCCACTCCTTAGGCCATTAATCTAGTAGTCTTGGTTTCTTGACCTCTCTCTCGAGCAAGCCGAAAACACATAAATAAACTTGTATTTGCAACTACAAATTTGTTAAATTCAACCACAACTACTAGGTGAAATCACCATTAAACTACATCTAATCTATCAGCAAGCAAGACCCAACAACAATCTTAACCCATATTCGCTAAATCATACCCCAAGAATTGGGATTTTTAGCCATACATCAAGAAATAGAAATTTATACCTTTAATGATGTTGAAATCAAATGGGTATGAAGATTTAAGTCTCAATTTAGGCAAGGAGTGAAGAATCCAAGAGACCCGCTTCCAAATTGAAAGAGATGAAACCCTCTTCTTCTTCGAGTTTTCAAAACACTCTCCAAAACTTAGAGAATCTATTCAAAGCTCTATCTCAACTTTTTAATCTAAAAACTAGGTAAAACAATGTAAAAAATCGCTACTAAAAATAAAAACTGAACTAGTATTTATAGTTTTCAGAAAATGTTCTCCGAAGAATCTTTCGGCGACGTTAGTGAGAATCGCCGATGCATTCGGCGATCCGCCCTTTGGTCTACTTTGTCGCCTTTCGTCAGTTGCCTTTAGCATCTTTGTGTCCTGGATAATTGGGCGATGTAGCACTATTTCATGGATTCGTTTGCCAACTGCTCCTTTTCATTGCCAATTTTCTCCTTTTATTCAGGGCTTTACACACTGGAACAAAAAGCGAACATGAGATCTGTTGGCGATTCACCGAACGTGTTCGGTGATTCGCAGACCTTCGTTTCTTTGTTCTTTCAGCTTCTTTTTACCCCCTTTTTGTAAGTAGTGTCCATGCTTTGCCTCAAACTTCAAATACCTGAAACTTAATGGTTTTCATCAGATATTGAGATAAAATAAGCATTTGAGGACACAATTTCTATTAAAATATAGCCCTAAATGAGTCCAATTTGTGGACTCATCACAGACGCAGGGTGATGATCCTGCCCCTCCAGCCACTACTGATGATACTCCGGCTTCCCCATCTCTGGCCACCTGTCAGGCCCATAGATCCTCCAGAGCCACTCTCTCCTTAGGGTCTGTTACTGTGCCTCTTGCCCGTGTCCAGAAAATGGAGGCCCAGATGGCTACCTTACTGCAGCATGTGCGACCTTTGATGCAACGTGCGATAGAGGAGTTCGCAGCTAGGATTGAGCAGCGAGTAGAGCACATGATGGACCAGAAGGTCTAGGCCGTTCATATGCGCCTGAATGCCTTTGAGATGAGAGTCCTAGAGAGGTCGGCCCTGACTGTTGATGTGACCACTCTCTAGAAGGAGATAGAGAGCCTCTGTAAGGATTTCACTGGACTCCTAGCTCCACCAGAGACTGAGCCTGAGTCTTCCCACACGGCACCGAGTAATAATATGGTGTTGGATGCATTATTCAAAGATGAGTTGCCGTCGCTTGATTCTTCCCATCATGTTGGGAAACGCCTCCGCTCCAGTCAAATTTCTAATGACATTGAGGCTGGGAGACCTCGCAAAAGCGCC